AGAGTAGGAGGAACCATCCGGAAGTGCGCAAACTTCACCATCTCATTGAACTTGGCCACGTACTCATCAACAGTCATCGAGCCCTGAACCAATCCATCAAACTCCCCCTGCTTCCTCTCCTGCGCATCGTAGGGAAAGTATCTTCCCAAAAAGCACTCCTCAAAGAATGGCCACGTCAAAACACGACCCTGTATCTCATAAGCACGAGAGGTGTTCGTCCACCACTCATGGGCATCGCCCTCCAGCATGTAAGTCGAGAACATCAGCTTCTATGGGTCTGTACACTGCCTGACCCGAAATATCTTGTCCAGCGACTCCAGCCATCTCGCCGCAGCAATAGGATCCAAAGACCCTCCAAACACAGGTGGCTTATGCTTCCTGAAAGCATTCAGCCGGCGATCTATCACATCACGATCCTCAGCAGGCTCTACAAGAGTCTCCCTCGTCTCAGCGACATGAGCAGCACTGCCAATGTGACTCAGGCTCTTATCCTGAACACTAGGTGGAGGCGGCGGCGGCGGTGGCGGTGGTGCCTAGCCTACAGCAGGACCAGCCCTCATCTCCTCCAACATGACTCTCATCATCGTCATGTTCGCCATCCTGTTCGCCTCCAGGACATCCTCAGTGGCCCTCCGGTTCGCTTCACGAACCTCTTCTGCGGCTATCCGGTTCGCCTCGCGAACAACATCTATCATTGCCACGTTGGCCAATCTAGTGGCCTCCTGATCGGCTAACCTAGCCGCCTGCATCTCAGCCAATGCAGTCAGGATAAGATCGGGTTGATCCTCAGAAGTCTCTCATGTTCTCCCAGACCTTGCCATGACTCTGCACAAGTTACACAAATTATGAGTTGATCAGGCCCACGCAATGCAACTACATATGCATTATCATAATAAAATTCGAAGGAGTAAACACACAAGACAGACACAACCAAACATCCTAACTATTGCAATACATACAGGCTTTGTCCTCGAACGATTTCTCTGATACCATAAATGTAACACCCTGTATATATCCGGTAATGTTATCATACTATCGTATTAAGCAGCGCTTAATTAAAAATCTGGAATATCTTTTCCTTTTCAATTATGATGTCATTATCATTACCAACTTGCTTATTAATCAATTAATAAAACATCGCCTGTATGTAATTGATATAAAACAGCTAACTGAAATACCTCATAACATAGATAATAAAAGTCTGTCTCTAGAAATCACGGAACTACCACAAGTAGGCCGGACCAACTAGAAGGTTATACAACTCCAATCTAAAAGTACTAACATAAAGTGTCATGGACAATCCCCATGCTCACTCAAATAAGGCAACACGCCCAACATCAGTCTCAACAACAACATAATCATAAATAGCGGAAAACATAAACAGCATCCAAATCCAGTCATGGCAGCAATACAACATAATATCATAATCAGCTAAGCTCTGGCCTCCTGCCGCCAGAGGCATCAGTCACCATACTACCTGAACCTGAAATAAGCATTCCCCAAACGTGGGGTGAGATCTCGAAACAAGAAATCTCAGTAAGACAAGGGGTCCTCAAGGATCTTCCACCCCAAGCTCACTTACATGTGCAATATTAAGTTTAAAAGCAGTTCATCAATATCATTTCTAAAACAGTGCAATGCAGCAGATAATCATGCCATGTGTGTCAATTCTATTCTACTGGCCAGAGAAATGCAGGATTTATATACGCCAAATACCCACACATAGTGCAAGACGCCACTTGTATTCACCCCGGATCACCATATCGTATGACGCCACATACTCAGGCTTATCGTTAAGATGAAACAACACATGCATATTAAAAGCCATTACACATAAAGCTCAACAGCATTTCAAATATTCAAAGCATGCAACACATCTTGCATATAACCACACCCCCATGAGACATGGTGGAACCACAACATGGCTAAACCGAGGACACGAAAGCTTACCTTGCAAGCTAACACCCAAAGCCAAAAGTCCACAGCTCAAAGTCCAAACACAGCAGATTCACAATCTGTTATGGACCAATACTATATCAATAATAATGCACCACAAGCATAAAACTTAAAGACAACGCCTTTCCTTTACATTTTACGTCTTAAGGCTCCATACCAAGCCATAAGCCATTAATCACTTGATTCTGACTTAGTTCATTAATTACAGAAGTTCAACTTCATAAATTTAGGGTCCACAAACCCCCAATAGCCTACTGTACACACAACACAGCTACTGTTCTACGAAATCCCAGAATATCCGGATATTCCACGGGACATATCCGGATATGCAATATCCGGATATCTCACTGACCATATCCGGATATTCAGATTCCCATATCCGGATATCCAAATCCCATATCCGGATATCACATATCCGGATATTTCTCGGGCACATATCCGGATATTTCACGACAAAATGCAGAAACTGCATTTCGTGAAGATATCCTTCCAAGGTTCCATTTTTAACACTTTCAAACGTTAAAGCATGCATCTTTATACTGTTTAAGGGTCATACCACTGTTGGTTACTAGTTTAACTCTTTAAACATGCAAAGACACCTCTTTTATTCAACAAAACACATGATCAAGGTTGGTACAACTCACCAAAGCTCAAAACAGAGGAAGAAAGGCTCTTGGAGCTCTCAAATCTGCCTCTACAGGTCTGACCTTCAAGGCACACGAAAATGACTTCACAAAGGTTGGTTCTTTCTCACCAAAGGTCACCACTTGGACCTCAAAGTGCCATAACCAAGGCTCACAACACTCAACTCACAAACTCAGAACCTCTCTACCTCACTCACAGTGACAAGAACTCAGAAAAGCCCTCACACTCCCACACCAAGCAAGCTCTCACAAGCCCCAAGGTATTTGGAGAAGAAACAAAGGAGAAATGAAGCTCCTTGGCTCACCATAATGGAGGAGAAGGTGGAAAAGGGTGGCTGGAGGTGTTTCAGAACATGGAGGCACGTAAGAAATTTGGTCTAGGGTTTTGTGCCCAATGATTAGAGTATATATAGCCACTTTCAATTAAAACACACAGTATTAACTTTAATTGTTACGCTTAGCGTTTTAATCCCAAACTCTGGATTCTTAACCTACTCAATTTTACAAGAATTATCATAGTTTTCTTATAATTTTTGGAGCACCTTTCCGGTACGCGCTTTTCAAAGCCAGTACCGGTTTCTAGCACCAGTTCTCATTATTTGGACTTGAAACTCGGTTTACAAGTCCTACATATTATTCTAGTAATTATTATGCACTTATTATAATTTTTCGGTACACATTTATACCGACTAGTAGAACCGGTATCTGCACTTTTCTTCCGAAAAGCGACTTTCAACATTCTTAATCACTTACTATAATTATTAAAGTCTCATAATAATTATTAGGGTCAATTATGGAATTATTTCCTATTTCTCATAATTTATTAATTAAATTCCTTAATTAACGGTGCAGGTTCTTACATGTATAGAAAAGACTTTGTTGGGAGAGGCTGTACCCACACTCGCGTGATCTCTCTGCCTCGAGGGGATTAGTTCTTGACTTTCGGCTGAGGGATACCCTTGGAACAATTTCCAAAAAAAAAAGTCGCTGCCAATCAAATTAGGTTTAATTTCTCATTCTTCATAATTAATATAAAAAGTAAGCTTGTGTTTTTAATTTGGTTATATTGATTAACAATGTAATCACTTATCTTTGATATATTTATTGTGAAAATCAATAATTATTAAACACCTTCAAAATTATGGAGTAAATAATATTCCAGGCAAATACAAATATTTTATCAATTTCCTTTTCATCTTAATTTATATATCAAAATCAACAATAGATAAATATTTAATAAAATTTGTGCCAGTAATAATTATATGGATTTCTATAAACTTCGGTTTATGAATTTAAAAAAGGATTCGCTTTCTGCAGTTACTGCAGATAAGTTATTTGCAGTAAGCCCAATATGATGTCGTTTTGGAACGAAAATCATGGTGTTTTCGTAATTTTAATTTATTTCAGGATTATTATAGTCTTTATAATTATAATTTTCTAATCTTTTAATCTCAAAACGACGTCATTTTGAAACTAATTCAGAAATATTTTTCTGTTTAAAAAAATATGTGATTGTTGACCATATAAGCCGCTGCCCATCAAATTAGGCTTTTATCATATTGCTTAATTAATATAGAAAATTAAGCACGTGTTGTTTATTTTTGTTATATTGATTAATAATGTAATCACTTATCTTTTAGGTATTTATTATGAAAATCAATAATTATTAAACATTTTCAATATCGTGAAGTAACTAATCTCCAAGAAAAATGATATATTTTATCAATTTCCACTTCATCTTGACTTGTATACCATAATTCACAATTGATAATTATTTAATAAAATTTACGTCACTAATAATTACATGGATCACTATAATTTCCCATTGATGAATTTTAAAAAATATTCGTTTGTTTTTTCTTGTAAGTCTCTGCCCATGAAATTAGGCTTCCAATGTTTTGAAAATAAAAAAATTATTGATTGCAATGTTTTGAAATTTAAAATATTGTAATTATTTTTGCTAGTGGGGTCAACGAGACCATGTTACCACATGGCAACACCAAGAAAGTATCACTAAGATGGTGAGACTGCCAAAATGTTGTCACATAACACAATCTTGACTATTCCCGAATTTCACTCTATTTTTCATTCTTATCATGTATATTAATTAGTATTTAATAATTAAAATTGAAAATGTTATCATTTTTGAAATTCTCATTTCTCTGAGAAATTAAAATTTTGATATTATTGATATTTGGTGAGTAATATTTTAACGACACCGATTAATTTTGATACGTTTTCTCCACGCAAATGTCTTGTATATATATCGGTCAGTTGTCCACTTTGTTTGTCACCGTTTTATCGAGAGAGAGATCAGGCAAAGATATCAAAGTGAGATGGAGAAAAGTAGTGTCGTAATGTTGTTGTTTTGTGTAATATTTACCTCGTATATCATATTAGACTTGCAAGTTGAAGCAAGAGCATCATCAACTTTGGAAATAGAAATCGAAGCAAAATTGAATCAATTCAACAAGCCTGCCGTTAAAAGCATTAAGGTCTGTAATTCCGTCACACCTATTTTCAATTGCAGTTGTTAATTTTTTATTTACAAATTATATATATTATGTACTTTTCCGGAAATACACTAGGTTACACTATGTACTTTCAGGAATATATAATATAATTTGTAAAAATTTATTAAAAAAATTTGTAAATGAATATTTCCCTTTACTTTTATGTTAGATGTTGTAAAGAACCTTGGGATACATCACCCCAAAAGCTAGCTCAAAGGGTGAGAGTGCCCAAGGCCTTATAAAGGCCACATTAGTTGCACATACAACTAATGTGAGACTATATATCTCAACACGCCCCTCACACGAGAGCCCATTGGGCTTGAAGAGTGGACAATGCAACAGTTCCAGTCTACCTGTGCTAAGAAACGCCACAAGAGAAAGTGGGGGGCGAGGGGCGGCAAGGCTCTGATAAACAACCTTGGGATACACCACCCCAAAAGCTAGCTAAAAGGTGAGAGTGTCCAAAGCCTTATAAAGACCACATTAGTTGCACATACAACTAATGTGAGACTATATATCTCAACAAATGTTTTGGAATTAACTCATCAATCATTCACCAATAAAATGAATTGAGTTTTCGAAATAAAAGCATAAGAACATTTTGATTTTTTTCATTCGTATAAATGGCTCAACGAATGACTTCTTATGATTTTTCAAAGAGTTTAGTTTAAGTTTTTTAATAAGACTTAAAGGATTTACAATCGTTATATTTGACATAAAGTTTACGACTTAATTTTTTTTTTTTTTTTGCAGAGTGGAGATGGGGATATGATTGACTGTGTGGACATCTACAAACAACCTGGTTTTGACCATCCTTCCTTAAAAAACCACAAAATTCAGGTACATTTACTATTATTATTTATTATTTATTATTATTATTACGTATATTTTAGCGTGCCATCCAATAGAGTCGGCCAAGTGGATTTTTGGTGAAAAGTTGAATAATATTTTATAAATTAAATTTATATTCTGAAAGGGTTTGTAAATTTTATTTTATCCCATAACTAAAAAATTAAAATAATCCAGATAAATTATCGATTATAGATTGACCCACCTAATTAATATTATTTTATTTCCTCTAATCCCTTTCAAACTAATACTATTGCATCTTTGGTGAATGAACTACGCAGATGATACCTGACTCTTTGCTAAAACATCAGATTTCAAACACAATTGATGCTTCCCAATCAAACTCTGAAAATGTATTTCAGACATGGCAGAGAAGTGGAACTTGTCCAAAAGGAACCATTCCTATTCGTAGAATTCTAAAGGAGGACTTTCTCAGAGCTGCTTCGTTCGATCGCTTCGGGATGAAACCCCCAGCAATTTTTAAGAATTCAACAAATCCCTACAACCTTTTTTCCCCTAACCTCAAAACCTCCAATGTAATTGTTCCGGAAAATCGTTCGGTAAGTATCACGACTAATATACATTTAAACTCAAATAAACACACATATATATATATATATATATAGTGATGATTTTGATTTTATCTAGTTTATTTATTGCAAAATAAATATATAAGACAAAATTATCTTGTCCATATAAAAAGTGGATGGAATTCACTTTTTTTTTTTCTCTCTCTTTTCCTTAACGAGTGTCACTCGCTCTTTTATGTGTTACATAGTGAAGAGGAGATTATTTACAGTGAGCCGAGACCACCATTTTTTAGGTGGTCCCTTAGTGTAAATAGGAGGGTAAAATCGGAAAAGAGGAAAAATAACGGGGATAAAAAAGGAAAGAAAAAATTAATGATGTGAGAGAGAGTACCAAAAGATTCAGTGGTCCTGGACCATATTAAATATTTCCCTAGTGAAGGAGCTGGCAACAGCAACCACACCTTTCAAGTTTTTGAATAAATCTTTGGTACTACTGCTGTACCAAAGATTCAGTGCATCCTACCAATAAAAATATTACATTTTTTTCTCTCTCTTCTGATGTGTACTGCTATCATTGATGGGATGCACTGAATCTAGGTACAACAGTAGTACCAAAAATTTATTCCAAGTTTTTTTCCTTTATAGTTGACCATTTCAAGTTTTTTGCCTTTATAGTTGACCATTATTTATGATATTTTAGTCATGTAATTAGTGATTATTGTTGGAAATCGACAATCACACAGAATCGAGAAAACAGAAAAAGAGATAAGAGTAGAGAGATTGACACGATGATTTACCCTGATTCACCCAATATAGGCTACGTCCAGCTTGTCTGTACTATATTCACCTCACCGCCACTCGTTACAAGTCTCTCGGTTTACAAGGCAAATATAAATAGGATTACAAAAAACCCTAACAGCAGCTATTCATGGGCCCAAGCCCAAACTGCTAAGAAAATTACAATAGAAACAGAGGCCTAAACATTACCTAGCCTCTACGGGCCTGGGGGCGCTGCCCCCCGGACCCCCGCCCGCTCACCTGGGAGCGAGACCCCAGTTGCCTTTCTGCTGACCCCGACAATTAGGGCCAACATCATCATGTGAAGTATGAGCCATACCCAACATTCTCCCACTTGGTGAATGCTTCACATGTTTCTTCAATCCCAATGCATCTGTACACCATTCAAACTTCTCCGAAGTCACTGCCTTGGTCAGAAAATCAGCATTGTTGACCTTTGTGTCAACCTTCTCCAGCAATACAACCTTGTCTTCAATCTTCTCTCTGATGAAGTGGTACTGTATGCCGATATGCTTGGTCCTCGCATGGAAACCTGGGTTCTTAGCCAAGAAAATGGCGCTCTGACTGTCACACCCAACGATCATCTCTCCTTGTGCAAAGCCAAGCTCTTTGCACAACCTCTGTAACCAAATAGCTTCCTTAACAGCATGTGTCAAAGCCATGTACTCAGCCTCTGTAGAAGATAAAGCAACAGTGCTCTGCCTCTTACTCATCCAACTGATAGCTCCGCCAAATGAAGAAACAACATATCCACTTGTAGATCTTCTACTATCAATGTCACCTCCCCAATCAGCATCCACAAAGCATCTCAGCTCTAACAATGTCTGTCCCCTTGAGCCCTTCACGCCTTCATAGCATAACCCAAGGTCAGACGTACCACGAAGATAGCGGAACACACGCTTCACAGCCGTCCAATGCTCATTTCCTGGCTTGGACATATACCTGCTCAATACTCCCACTGCTTGAGCAATATCAGGTCGAGTACAAATCATGGCATACATCAGACTCCCTACTGCACTAGCATAAGGAACTGACGCCATCTCTTCTTTTTCTTCTTCAGTCTTGGGACACTGGTCAGCCGATAACTTAGAACCAGTAGACATGGGAGTCAACACAGGCTTGCAGTCAGTCATCTTGAATTTCTTCAGAACATCTTCTATGTACTTCTGCTGACTTAACCATAATCTTCGTTTGTCACGCTCCCTCTTAATCTGCATACCCAAGATCACATTTGCAGCGCCTAGATCTTTCATTTCAAACTGCTTTGCTAGCAGTCCTTTAACAGTGCTGATCATTTTCAAACTGTTTCCAACGAGTAACATGTCGTCAACATACAAAGTTAGAATAACAAAGTCACCTTCTAACCTTTTCACATAAACACATTGATCAGCATCACAACGATCAAAGCCAAGCTTCAGCACATAAGTGTCGAACTTCATGTACCACATCCTTGGGGACTGCTTCAGGCCATACAGAGATTTATTCAGCTTGCAGACTAGCTCCTCTTTGCCTCTTGCAATGAACCCCTCTGGTTGCTTCATGAAAATAACCTCCTCCAAATCACCATGAAGAAAAGCTGTCTTCACATCCAGCTGCTCCACCTCTAGGTCATATGCAGCTGCTACAGACAAAACCAGTCTTATGGAATTTAACTTTGCAACAGGTGAAAATACCTCACCATAATCAACCTCTTCTGTCTGTGAATATCCCTTTGCAACCAATCGAGCCTTGTAGCGTTCAATCTCCCCATTGGCACCAACCTTCTTCTTGAACACCCACTTGCAACCAATTGCTTCCCTTGCAGGCAATGCTCGCAAAATCCAAACCTCATAGAGCAGCTCGGAATTTCATCCACCAACTTCTTTGATGTTAGAGTCTCCAGACCTTTTCCTCCAATATGCCCCAGCCTCCTATGCCATAACATAGCAGTGTCCTCCTCCGCCTGTTCTAAAACATAGCTTTCACCACTGAATACTGTGCTACCCAGGAGTTTCCACAATTTACCATGACGCTCTCCTCTTGCAATAACCAAAGCTCCTCGAGTCAGCTTGCAAGAATACTTGTCACTGCTAAAATTAATACCAGCATCTGCCATACTACCAACGGAGATCAGATTTCTGGTAAGCCCCGGAATATGCATCACACCCGGCAGATTATTGAATGTCCCGTCACTCATCTTCAGCTTTACCTTCCCACGCCCCACAATTGCATGAGTCGTGTCATCTCCCATTCTAACTGTACTGCCAGAATACGATTCATAGGTGCAGAACCACTCCCTATGAGGTGTCATATGAAACGATGCTCCAGTGTCAATAATCCAATCATTACAGTCATTATGACTGTCAAACGCCATGTACAGGTCCCATGTACTATCATCATCATCCTTCTTTGTACCCGAAGCAGACGGTTGTGAATCATCCCGCTTCTCAGGACCTACACTTTTACTTCTGCAATTCCTTCTCAGATGTCCAACCTTTTTGCACCTCCAGCACCTCATTTCAGATTTATCAGATTTATCAGATTTATCACGGAACTTTGATCGTCCCCTCGATCTTCCTCTGTGACCAGACTTTGATTTGTCATCACTCATCCCTCTAGCAACCAGAGCCTCATTGTTGGTACCTTCAGAACCTACCTTTCTCATCTCCTCAGACAATAAGGCAGCAACAACCGTCTCAAACGACAGTTTATTAACACTAGTACCAATTGACACAATGATGTGCTCCCAAGAGTTGGGCAGTGAACACAACAAGGTGCAAGCTTTGTCTTCCTCGTCCAGGTTAATGTCTATAGACGAAAGTTGTGCACAAATAGTATTAAATTCATTTAAATGAGCAGAGAAAGAATCACCTTCGCTCATCCGCAGATTATACAGCCTCCTTCGCAGGAACAACTTGTTCACGAGTGACTTGCTCTGATAGAGACTTCCCAGCTTCGTCCAGAGATCCTTCGCGGTCTTCTCAGAAGTTACGTTCACCAGAACGTTATCAGCCAGGCATAACCAGATCAGGCTTCGCGCCTTTCGATCGTCTCTGGTCCACGCCTTCAACTCCTTCGACTCGCCATCACCTGACGTTTCTTCACCGACAGGTTTTGTTGGTACGGACGGCTTATCATCTTCGATCACGTACCACACGTCCCTGTCAACGAGCAGAGCCTCCGTCTTCAGCTTCCATAATTCGAACCCTTTTCCTCCGAACTTTTCAACCTCGACCCGTGATTGGCCAGTCGACATCCTCTCCAGATCAATTTCGCAGTTTTATCTATGCCAAGAAAAAACCCTAAATCGCGAAACCCCAATCTGTCACAGGAACCCTGGTCGCAGAACCAAAGCTCTGATACCAATTGTTGGAAATCGACAATCACACAGAATCGAGAAAACAGAAAAAGAGATAAGAGTAGAGAGATTGACACGATGATTTACCCTGGTTCACCCAATATAGGCTACGTCCAGCTTGTCTGTCCTACGCGTAGAAGAAAAAGGGAGAGACATAAATGGACGTGTAGTAGGAGACTTCTACACAGTTGGTGAGACAGAGACATTTTGTGTTTAGGTATAATTTAGGCTACGTCCAGCTTGTCTGTCCTACGCGTAGAAGAAAAAGGGAGAGACATAAATGGACGTGTAGTAGGAGACTTCTACACAGTTGGTGAGACAGAAACATTTTGTGTTTAGGTATAATTTTATATTTTACATTAGTTGTCTTTCTGCTGACCCCGACAATTAGGGCCAACATCATCATGTGAAGTATGAGTCATACCCAACAGTTATCCTCCTTCAAAATTTATAAAAAAATTTAATGGTGAATAGTATATCTATTTGTTATCATATAAATGATTATAATTTCGAAAAAAAAAATATATTATACATTGCAGTTCCATTCTTCTCATAAAATATTTTGGCTCCGCCGTTGACGGTGATGTGATCATACAGGCAGCATATCTTGTGACAATGGGATACAATTATATTGGTGCAGAAGCAGATATTAACGTTTGGAATCCAAATGTTGACCTGCCAGATGATTTCACCACTGCTCAAATCTGGCTTAAGGCTGGAAGTGATGTTGGATTTGAAAGTGTCGAAGCAGGCTGGATGGTTAGTTTACTTGCCAACACTCGCTGATTTAAATTCCAAATCAAACCTTACACACCTTTCTTCCTAGTTGTTTCTTAATTGTATTAATCAATTAATGTGCGATATCATATATACATGCTATGCTTTAGTAAGGGGTGTTCGCGGTCTGGATTGGATCGGTTTTGGAAGCAAAACTCATCCGATCCAATTCATTCGGTTTGATCATGTAATCATCCATTCGGTTTAGATTTTTTTTCAAATCCGATCTGATCCAATCCAATTTTTTTCGGTTTGGATTGGATCGGTTTTCGGTTTTTTGAATATCCTAAAATTAGTTTCATGATTATTATGTAAATAACATCTTTTGTATATATTGGCTTTATAAAAAAAAAAATTGAAATACAAAAATATCAGTAAACAATACTTTAGTTGATGAGACGTGACTAAGTTTTTTTTTGGTTTAGTTGATGAGTTAATGAGTCTTAAGTTTAGAAAATTTTGGGCTATAATTGGAGAAAGGACAAGTAGGTAGAGGATAATTAATATATTGGATCAGTTTGGATTGGATCGGTTTTCATCAACCCATCCAAAAACCGATCCAATCTAATTAAAATTTGCGGTTTTCTTTCGGTTTTCGCTTTTTCGGTTTTCGGTTTATTCGGTTATCGGTTTTTTGGTTCGGTTTTCGCGGTTTGAATCGGTTTGGATCGGTTGATGAACACCCCTAGCTTTAGTTTATTTCTAAATATGCAAGGGTAAGGGTAGCTAATAGTGGTGGTTTTGTGATTTATGTTATGGGAAAAATGTTTATACTTTTGTTATTGAATTTTTTTTTTGCCATACCACATAACAGTGAGTGAATTCCATTATAACGGTAAAAGAAAGAAAAGATAACGAGACCCAAACATTTTTATATGAATGTGACAGAAAAATTTTCTTCTGTGGTAAAAACAGAAATATTAAACCCTTTATTATATACATATATGACTAATACTCTTTGCTATGGTTTAGGTGAATCCAAAGTTATACGGTGACAAAGCCACCCGGTTGTTTGCCTCTTGGACCGTAAGTAACTAATTATTAGTTGTTTTGTTTGCTGGTATTCTTAAAATCTTATTTGTTTTGTAACCTCAAATTCAAAGGGGAAATCAAACATTGATTTTTGGTTTCTTGATTTTGTGATGCAGAAGGATTCATATGTGTCAACAGGTTGCTTTGATCTTACTTGCCCTGGGTTTATTCAAGTAAACCCCGATGTAGCGCTTGGTGCTGCCTTAGAACCTGTGTCATCCCAATCTGGCGATCAGTATGACATCAACGTTGGAATGTTTTGGGTAATGATCACATGTTTATTTATATTCATTCGCTATTGGATAATCTCAAACACTCATAAAACATTTCGTGACCACAATGTTTCAATGAAAGCAATACAAATTAACTTCTAGCAAGTCACTATATATTTTTAAAGATAATCGATCTATTTCTATCATCCGAACAAAAAATGGAAAAAATATTTCTACAACCATTTTAGATAAGATTATCTACAGCTATCCTAAAAACTACGTCATTTTGATTAATGAAGGGTGTTTTTGTATTTTTAGGTGAATTAATGAAGGATGTTTCAGTAAAATGCATATGATAAAAACATAAACAAAATTACAGAAACACCCTTCATTAATTTACCTAAAATTGTAGAAACACTATTCATTAATCAAAACGATGTATTTTTAGGTAGTTGTAAATAACCTCATCTAAAGTGACTGTAGAAATATTTACTCAAAAAAATACGCTTTTCATAACTGTAATAATCTTATCACAAAGAAAATGACTGCATTGTAATGTTAACTAATGTACTAATTTTTTGTTTTTTTTTTATTGGGTGGGTTTTGGTTTAGGATGCTGATGGGAATTGGTGGCTTTTACTGAAGCATGATATAGTGGTGGGTTATTGGCCCTCCAAAGTGTTGGGTTCTTTAAGACACAGTGCCATATTGGTTGAATGGGGTGGACAAGTTTTCAGTTCAAATTTACTAAAAACAACCCCTCACACGCGAACAGCTATGGGAAGTGGAGAACACGCGTCGAGTCAACTTGGGGTTTCATGCTATATGGGCCGTGTGAGGATTAAGGATTATTCACGTACTCTCAAGTACCCTGAATTTGTATATCCAATTGCTGAAGAACCTTACTGCTACAACGCCTTAAATGACGTTAAATATGGAGTGGAACCTGTCTTCTATTTTGGAGGGCCCGGACAAAGTCCTCCTTATTGCCCTTGAATTTCTATTGTGAACTAGGAGCATATTTTCAAATGGGATTCAAATGTCGATAGAATAAGAGGAAATAGATGAGTCATTTTTTTCCAACTTGAATAAATAATGTATTACATCTTCCGTTTCCTGAAAATATTTTCGTAAACTATTGCATAATAAAAATGTGGATGCTGAAATGTTATTGGCAAATGGCAAATAACAAAAATGCATAAATGTGTTAATTAATCTGGACATTTTGGACCTGTAATTGTTTCCCATCAGTCATTGGACCTAAATGTCCAACCCAGCAAATTATGAATGTTTCTAAATGCATAGATCATGGAGAAATCTTTAGATATTAGAATGCGGTATTACAATCTTTATTGAATTCGAGTGAAAGTGACAATCATTAGGCACAAAAGATCACTTGAATAATTATAGTTTTTTAACCACACAAATGTATTCGTATAAATCAGAGAAAAAGTTGGAAGATTTAATATTTAATAAAATTTGTCATTATTATTTATACTGAATTTTATAATTAATTCCTATTTACAAATTTTAAAAATGTGATTGGTTTCCTTATGTATCTGGGCAAAAAAATTTATTTATTGCAATTTAATAAAATAATTACACATATATGACAGTTTTTGGAATTTTTACGGATCTAATGCACAATGTGACGCCACATTTGGGCGTCACATGTGACGCCACATTTGGGCGTCTCTCATCACCTAGGGTAAGACGCCCAATTGGGGCGTCACATGTGACGCCCAAATGTGGTGTCACATTGTACAGCCTATTTAATCCCCCCACCCCTCCATTCACTCTTCACACCTCTTCTCTCTCTTCACACCTCTTCTTCTCTCACTCTTCATATCTATTCCCTTTGTATTTGAATTTTATTTCTACTATTTAAGAATAAGCTTACGTACTGATTCTGTTCGTGTTGTGTTATATTACAATGGTAAGAAGGTAGAAGGTCGACGAGGTGTCATCTTTGAAGGTGAAAAAAGGCCGACACGTATCGAACGCAATGCAACCATTGGCGAACTGCATCAGAAAATTCGGCAGAAGCTAAGTCTTCAAGGAAACCAATGTATCACTCAGATCACGACAAGATTATGGCAATGTGATAAATACATTAGTTTGCAAGTGGTTGACGATGAAGACCTAGAGATGACAATGGAAGAATTTTTCAACCAGTCAAGGACAGATTTTCTGGAGTTGTATGTCGACATTGCCGCAACCGAGAATGTTCCCTTACCGGTGAGGTCAGTTGATTTAAATTCTGCCTGTTTTCCATCTTTGTCTGCCGCTCATGCGTCTCCAGTTGGTAACTATTCTGAGGGAGATGAAAATGATCGGACTTGGGAAATGCACGACGACGACGACGACGATGATGATGAAAATATCGCAATGGAAGAACGTCTTGTGGCGGAGGATGCTAGTGCTTCCGAAGGAGATGAAGGTGCCGAAATGGGTGCGTCTCAAATCCCAATATTCCATCAACCAGTGGTCGTGCAAATGATGCAGTTGCATGACGTTGTGTCTGCCCCATTAGGGATTCATCATGAAGGTAATTGAAATAATGTGTATATAGTTGAGTACATACCTGATTTAATACCTGAATTAGGAAGTTTGTATTAATAAGTTACAATCCGCAGTTGCAGGTGACGAAGCTGTTAATGTGTATATAGTTGAGTACATACCTAATTTAATACCTGAATTAGGAAGTTTGAATTAGGAAGTTTGTATTAATGTGTATATAGTTGAGTACATACCTGATTTAATACCTGGGTGGGAATCGTATCCATGCCCAGATTTGAAGGAGAATATGACAACCACCCATGTCAGATCGATCGGCATCTGTCAATTCACACAAATTCTTGAAAAGGTGTAACAGAACCGCAGATCCCCAGCTGTATCGGCCAATATCATCAAATCTTCCCCCAAGCAACGGGACTAGCCGACAACCGAAATTGCTGCCTCCAGACTTGTCCGCTAGCAACCAAGAACCAAGCATCCTGGCAATGTGCGCCTTTGTGAAGTAGATCTCGGCAGCACGATCTCTTTCATGATCAGTCCACCTGGTATATAACCGATCTAAGTATGAGATACGCACGTCGCCTGAATGATGGAACTCATTTGGCTGTGGAACCGCGCCAAATACAGCCCCACAAACAGCGGGCCAATCCTCAGAGGTGGATCTCGTGACGACATCCCCGTCAGTAGGCAACCCCAATATGCCTACCATATCTTGCAATGTGATAGTCATCTCACCTTGGGTCATGTGGAAAGTATGTGTCTCTGGTCTCCACCTCTCGACCAGAGCACTAATTAAAGGGGCATCGATCTGTGATAAAATATACAATCAGAGCGTGTTAACAAATAATAACATAAATACAAAACAACGTAAATTGCATACCTGAATATGTCGCATTCGGGCAACATGTATGAATCCGGCCTGTGTCAGGTAGTCTGCGACAACCTCTAGGATAACGCCTATAGGTGGCCCCCTAGATGGCTTCCCACCTCTAGTCTTTATTTTCCTTACATGCTCTGTATTCCATACTCGCTGTGAAATATGAGCTTTCTGCGTCCTCTTACGAAGGACCTCCCATCTGTACAACCCAGGTATGATGTATATGCTGAGATCGGTAGGCTCTACATCTGATGCAGAACCCTATGATGTATATGCTGGGATCGGTAGGCTCTACATCTGATGCAGAACCCTATGAAGATGATGACTCAGCCATTACCCTCAACTATATAATATAAAACAACATTTACATTAATCACATGTAATGCCCCATTTTATTTACAAATTAATTAAGTAATGACATAATTTATTGAGTAAACACCCTTTTTAGTCCCTGACAATATCTACGAAGTCCTTTTCAGTCCCTGGCAATAAAAAAGGACCAAATTGGTCCCTGAAAGTACAAGAAAAGGGCCACTCTACATATTTGGGAGTTGACATAAGGACTAACATGGCCCTTTTGTTGTAATTTCAGGGACCAATTTGGTCCTTTTTTATTGTCAGGGACTAAAAAAGGCTTCGTAGATATTGACAGGGACTAAAAAGGGTGTTTACTCTAATTTATTATCAAAAAATTTAAGCATATGCGTCATTTTCATTACTACAATCAAAATTAATGAAATAATGTTAATACATAGTACAGTATTTTATTTGTAATTAAATAATAAAAATACATTGGACAAAAGTAATATAATACTTACAGAATACTTAACCTTAGGTCTTAATATCCGAAAAAAAATTTGTATGTCTTAATGATATTATATCTATATATATATATATATATATATATATATATATATATATATATATATATTGATAATATAATGAATTATCAAATATATATTATTAATAATATAGTTAATAAGCTTTAGATGTTTATCATGAAAATCAAGAATCAATAAATATAGTAAATAGCAGGACGAAGTGAATATCGTCCCATAAAATACAGAAATTGTAGCAATTATCTTTTCATCTTGACTTATATACTATAATCATTAACCATCATATGTTTAATAAAATTATTGCCATTTGTAACGCCCGGACGCTTCAAGAATCAATGACTATCCCCACTATAACACCTCGTAAATCTAAATATGAAATTATATGCTATAATATGGGTTAAAAGGGGAGGATTAGTGAAAATCCAAAAATTAAGGCCAAACTGTGTGAAAAGGGCAAAATGGTAAATTACCAAACACGCATCCCTAGGCATGAAAAATTGAGTAGAAGACCTCAAATGATAAAAATAATGCCGGAAATGGATTCAGGACGAAAAATCGAGTGGATAGGCAAGTTTCGAAATTTTTTGATGAATAGTGATTTTTCCGGTGTAAAAATACTGCGGTATAATTGTACCGATAAGTGTGAAATTTTTATCTGTATTTTTAAGAAACAAAAATATGGCGCGAACAAGGAAAATATGTAGATTATGAATTTGTGGTTTAAATTAGGTGATTAATTAAAGTTAAATTGCGTGTGGGACCCACTAATGGTTTAAGTGACTTAAAAGTCACAATTACATGACATTCTCTCTCCATTTTTCTTCTCCTCTCCCGTGAGTTTCTCATTTTCCATAGCCATGACCTTGAATCCTTCTTCCTCTTGCAACTTCTTCATTTCTTGACCAATTCAAGTGATTCTTGGCTTGAAATTTGTTGGAAACAACCTTCCAAATCCATTGGTAGTAGTATTAAGCCATGAAAACCACCACATCTTGTGAAAACCCCCATTTTCAGCGGCGATTTTGGATGATTTTGGAGAAATTTTGTGGGTCTTTCGGTTGAATCATTGCTTGGAGATCAATCCCTAGGATCATTGGAAGCTATTGGTGGTAAGGTTTCTCACCCTCACTTTGTTTTAAATGAGATCATATAATGGTTAGGGTTTTGATGATGTAAGTTGGGTTAAGGTAGTAAGGAGCATTAAATGGTATGTCTCCTTTGTAATTAAATACTTAAAATGATAAATGATGATGATTGATGCAATAAAAATTATGGTGAATTGTAAATTTATAACTTAGGCAATTTTGTGATGAGTTTCAAGACTTTATGAAATTGGTATGTGTTGTAATTGAACAATTGAATCATGAACCATTGGTATATGTAAATAATAGGAGTATATGATGAGTATGTGTTACGAAGAGGAGGATTGGAGCACCAAGTTGGGTGAAAGACTTTATTGTTGATATTCATTAGGAACATAGTGTTTAGATATAATACACTTGTATAAGGGTAGTTACAGAAATAGTTTACTGATATAGTCATTGTGTTGTTAATATAGTCATTTGTAAATTGCACACGTGCACATGTGACGTGGCAATCAGTTACTTCATTTCATTAGTTGCTGTCATGGTATAAAAACGACAATTGTTGTAATTGCAACATTCATTCAGAAAATTAAACAGAATTGTTCTTTGTTCCTTCTTTCGTTCGTTCTTCCTCTGATTGTTCTTCTCCATTGATCTTGTTCTTCCTTGAGATTCCTTTGTAGGATCCGCATTCCTAACATTGGTGCTTTCATCTTGTTGAATTCATTTTCGTTCATCAAGATGCAGGATGCATTTAGGGCTTCTCATCCCCATTTTTCAGCTTCACCTTCCATTGCAACGCTTGTGGATAATCTTGCTGTCGCCATTACAAACCTTGCACGATGTAGCACAGAGATGTATGCTGACTTTGCAAGTTTTAGGAACGAGATGTGCGCCGACTTCGCCAAGATTAAAGCTGATTTCGCAAAGGTTAGTACACTAACTTCTACAATGAGTTTTGATGGCAGTGTCCCAGTTTCGAAAGATGCTATTAGTGTTGTTGTTTCCGGTCCGGGAGTCAATCAAGAAATTAGTGTTGCTGTGGCGCATCAGTGCATTGCACAAAGTCCAATTTTCATTGATGTGGAAGCTATGTCCGTTGATTCCTTCTTGGTTGGGTGTGAGGTGCAAACTGGTGCCCCTCATTGGCTTGACGATCTAAGTTTGATGGCTATGTACTGTGTCTCTGATGATATGGTAGTTGCAAGACACATGTTTGATGAAATGTCTGACCTAAGTACAAGGTCTTGGTACATGATGATATCTGACCTTTTTCTTTATTGGGATCCTGGAGGATTTCTTTTCATTCACAATGCAAATAATATCAAGGATATTTTCTCTTTCATATGGTCTTTTGCCTCTCTGTTTCTTCCTTTTCTTTGTGTTGTTGAAGTCCTAGTTACCTTGTATCCAAAATCAGTTTATGGTCCCACAGAATCCAACACCACCGTCATCACCATGGTTGATTCCAAGATCATCACTGGAGTTGCTGGCTATGTCCTTGAAGATGTTCCTCACCTATCTGACTACATTCCCAATCTCCCTACATATCCTAATCCATTGCAAGACAATCCTTCCCATTCAGTTGTTCAGCAGTATTTTGTTAACGTGGATGATATCGTTGCACAACAGATAGTGATACATAAGAATAGCCCAAGAGGGACCCATTTTAGCCGTGCTGGGCCTCGTCAAAAAGTATATTTTGAGTCAGAAGATGTATATGCTTGTATTGTCACATGTGGGGGTCTATGTCTTGGTGTAAATACATTGATCAGAGAACTAGTTTGCTGCTTATACTATATGTATGGGGTGCACAAAGTCCTTGGAATAGAGGGCGGATATAGAGGTTTTTATTTTCGAAATACAATCCCATTAACACCAAAGGTTGCCAGTGACATCCATAAACGTGGTGGAACCATCCTTGGAACATCAAGAAGCGGCTATGACACCTCAAAGATTGTTGATAGCATTCAAGATCGGGAAATTAATCAGGTTTACAAAGTTGGAGGAGATGGAACTCAGAGCAGGGCTTCTGTGATTTTTGAGGAAATTAGAAGACGTGACTTGAAGGTTTCAGTGGTGGGAATTCCAAAAGCTGTTGAGAATGATACCCCAGTTTCAAAGTTTCCAACATGGTCTCTAATTGCTGTAAATTCCATGCATAGCTGGGGATTTTTTAATGTTCTTTCTTGGATGCCCATATACTTCAACTCAGTGTATCATTTGGATCTCAGGCATACAGCATGGTCTGTGATGGCTATCATGAAGTACCTGGCTTGCTTGTGGTCAGATATGATGATACAAACCAATGGACTGCCAATGTCTTCGTTGGATCAAAGATCAATGCAGGTTTCTCTTCAAGATTCAGTCACCAGATTTCAGCCTAGGAGACTCAAAATGCTGCATCCGCTAAGCAAGGTTATGGATATGGAATATGAGCCTCGAGCATTGAGGGCTCAACTTGCAGAGAAGTCTAGACATTATCTTCGACTACAAAAGGAGTTGGCAAGGACAAAGAAAGGAGAGTGGTATCGCGTATCATCTGGAGGTGCCAAAAAGGAACTTATTTCAGGAGCTTCCAGATCAGTTTATGTCCCTGATCCTTTTGATGTTGGACGCCCATTACAAGTTGATATTATTTCAGAATCTCTGCAAATCACAATGTCAACCACTGGTCCAATTGATCCAGCTGCTGGGTTGGGGACCTATGTAGAGGCACTTGTGCGAAAACATGACACTGAATTTAATGTTGTTGTAACTCAGATAAATGGCTCACACCATCCAAACAAATCTATTTATTTCCTTCATGTTGGAAAAATGAGGATGAAGCTCTGTAAAGGAAAGACAACAATTGCCAAAGAATATTATTCAGGTTCAATGCAGCCTTGTGGAGTTCGAGGGGGTGGCAATGCTGCAGCACAGGCACTATTTTGGCAACCAAAGCAAGGGTTTTCTTTTGTATTAGCCTTTGCATCAGAGCGAGCAAGAAATGCAGCCATCTTGCTTGCAAGGAGTTTTCGTTCCAGAAAACAAATCATATCCATGGAAATTTTGTTTGCTCTATTAAGCCATGCAAGGACAGTTTCAGTTGGTCCTCTACGGTTGAATTTTTTTTCATTCCTTGGACCTTGAGGACAAGGTCCATTTTTAAGGGGATGACAATGTTACGAAGAGGAGGACTGGAGCACCAAGTTGGGTGAAAGACTTTATTGTTGATATTCATTAGGAACATAGTGTTTAGATATAATACACTTGTATAAGGGTAGTTACAGAAATAGTTTACTGATATAGTCATTGTGTTGTTAATATAGTCATTTGTAAATTGCACACGTGCACATGTGACGTGGCAATCAGTTACTTCATTTCATTAGTTGCTGTCATGGTATAAAAACGACAATTGTTGTAATTGCAACATTCATTCAGAAAATTAAACAGAATTGTTCTTTGTTCCTTCTTTCGTTCGTTCTTCCTCTGATTGTTCTTCTCCATTGATCTTGTTCTTCCTTGAGATTCCTTTGTAGGATCCGCGTTCCTAACAGTATGAGTGTGGAATCGGATTGAATACCCCTAGGTTGATGGGGATGTGAAATTCGACCTATTGAGGTCATTGGTGGGGTGATGGTGTAAAAATGATATAGTTGATGTTATATGATCATGATTGGTGTTTAAATGAATGGTAGGTTGGTTTGATGTAGTGAAATTGAAAGGAGGAATGTTGGATGTGTATTTTGTGTGAGATTTCAACCATATCGAAGGAAATAAGGAGAATGATGTGAAAATGTGGTATAATCAATGAGTGATGCCTTAGCGCATAAGTGGTGATTTAGTTTAATGACTAAAATGGTTGAAGTAAGTGGATTAAATGTAGTTGGCCATTAGGCCTAAGTTGTTTTGTTGAGAATTATTGTATTTGAAAGTGAATTGGTTGTCTTGAAATTGATAGATGATCATGTTGATTGATCATTATAGGTTTCCTCTCTCGGACTCAATAGAGGAGAATTAAGCTCGGAGCGTACGTTGGGAGCCTTGCGTTTGGGGACATCATTTCAGGTTCTGCTGAGCATGGTGGATCTCCGGGCAAGAGGCCCTCTTAGTGGAAGAGTAGAGCGTGAGGATCATTTGGAGGGCATGACATACTGAAAGATTCCATTTGATGTACATAACATTGTATTTAATATTTGGAGTTAGGTCATGAACTTGTTGCATGTGGATATTGCCATGCTCTTGTATATTTATGACTATATGTTAAGTCCTTTAAAATTGATGTATAGTTATGCCTCTTGTTATTCTTGTATTTTGAGGGAGCATGGGACTTGTCCATGTCCACAAAATAGTATTTTGAAGCATTGGAAGACTTGAGTTGTAAATAGACCATTGGTTGTGTAAAATGGCTATGATATTGCAAATGGTTGTAATGGATGCATTCATAATAAATATGCATGATGGAAGGGCCTAGAGCCTACATCAGGACATGTGTAAAATGTATATGAAGTAGCAATGTGTTACGAGTAAGTTAGACCACTCATTTTGGGTCTTAAAAGCTGTCATCTGTCATTTTTGCTGCATAGTAATCGATTACTTTTCACTGGTAATCGATTACCTGCAACAGGGAACGAAAAATTGAGCTTCTGTCTACAGAGTAATCGATTACCATAGCATTGGTAATCGATTACCTAGTTCAGTAATCGATTACCAATCCTTGGTAATCGATTACCAGAAAACAGGGGAGCCCAAATTGAGGTTCTGACTTCTACAGTAACCTTTGGTAATCGATTACCTCAAGGTGGTAATCGATTACCACAGTGTAAAT